AATACTGGCCATTGAGGGCACCTGGAGAGTGAACCAGCAGATGGAAGAGCTCTCTCTGTCTCTCCCTCTCTCTCTGTAATTCTACCTCTCAATCAATAAATTTTTACATAAATTTCAAAAAGATACTCAAAACCTACATCAGAGTACCTGGATTTGATTGCTGGTTCCTGACTCCAGCTTCCTGCTTCCCCAGAGAGGCAGCAGTGTTGGCCAATCACATGGGAGACCTGGATTAAGTTCCCATCTGCCAGTTTCAGCCTACCCAAGCCCAATCCTTGCCATTGCAGGCACTTAATGAATCAGCAAGTAAGAGCATATCTCTCTTTCTTTCTCTCTCTGCCTCTCAAAATTAAGATTAAATAGATAAAGAGCACTTCAAAACGTTCATAGAACAAGTGAATTAAAAAATAAGTATGAGGTGGGCATTTAGTCCAGTAAAGCCGTCCATTTCCCATACTGGAGTGCCAGGGTTCAATATCTAGCTCTAGCTTCTAACTTTAGCTTCCTGCCAGTGTAGACCCTGGAGGTGGTACTGATGACTCAAGTAATTGAGCTCCTGCCACCCATCTGGTACACCTGGATTAGAGTTCCTGGTTCCTGGCTTCAGCCTGCTCAGTCCTAATCATTGAAGGCATTTGGGGAATGAACTTCTCTAGCTCTGGTTCTAGCTCTATCTGTTGATCGAATAAATTTCAAAAATATTTAAAGATAAGTTTATTTTGGTACAAAGATGTGAAGTCCATATTAACAAGGACTGTGACTGCTATTCAATCTCTTTGAGATTTTCATGCCAAGACTGGAGGACAACGCCAGGAGTCATCATGGGAGCTGGGAGAAATATGTTTAGGACCCAAGAGATCCACTAAAACACTTCCTTGTCTAGCTTTAACTGTAAATGCATAAATACAGCCAACGTGACCTGATAAGGGTCAGGCCCTCAGCAACAAAGGCCTGGGTCAACACAACAAGCAAACCAGCAGAAGCGAGGGGGATTGAGAAGGAGTAGAAAGCTTTTTGAGGAATTATGACCCTGAACAGAGTCCTGGAAAAGTTGTACCTGGATGGAGTGAACTGCCTATGAGGAGCAAGTGGATCCAAATGGTGTGATGGGTGGACTGAAATAGACACTGTGCACACCTGCAGATCCCTTTATCAGGCCAGCCACACACCTGGAGCTGCTGTACACTCTAACAGCTTACAACTGCTTCCTTTTCAGAACTGCACACTGCTCACTGGCCTATAGATAAATTCCCCATCCCTGCTGGGATAGCCCATGGCCAAGGACTGACCAGTGCAGAGATACTAAAGCCTGACCCCACTTGCCTCAAAGGACCACTGTAAGTTAGTTTCACTTATATTGCAGAGCCTCCCCTATGGATATGGCCCTTGTGCCATTGTATGCTGGGCTTCTGGAAGGGTGCTTTGCTCATAAAGGATGCAAGCTCAATTCTTGCCTGATTCTTTCTCCTCTCCTATCATGCTTGAATCCCTCCAACTGTATTTTTTTCAGAAAGAGCTCTTCTTTATAAATCACATTCCAGGCTCACCCAAATCCTTCTCTCGGGCTCTGCTTTTCAGATAACCCTACCTAAAACAGAGATGCAGCAAAACAAAACTATAAAGTAAAATAAAGCAGTGAGGAGGGTCAGGGAAATGGGTGGGAGGAGGGAAGGTGAGCTTTGTCTTTAAACAAGACAGCCAAGAAACTCCTCATGGCAGGTGAACTTGGAGCAGAGACTGAAAGGAACTGAAGGAATGAGCCATCAGACTCTTCAGGAGAAAAACGTTTAGGCAAAGGGACCAGATGGTGCAAAAGCCAGGACAGGAGTGGATATGGGGGTTCCTGTGAGAGTGAGGAGGGCCCTAAGTCCTGAGGATAATGGAGCGAGAAAAGAATGTCTGAGATGTACTCAGAGACTTCTCGAAGTCCTACAGACCATAAGTGCCTTGAAGCGCCTTCAAAGGAGACTGACTTTATTTCTGGGGGAGGTGGGATACCATGGGAAGGTTCTGAGCATGGGTCTGTGCCCACGGGCCCTATAAGGTTCACAAAATCATTTGGTCTGGCAACCAGAGGTGGGATGCAAAATTCAATAAATCTATATAGTAGGTTGACTTTTAAGTTGATAATTTTGCACAGCCTGTGGATGATGTTAGAAGTATTCAAATAGCCCATAGCAGAAAAAAGGTTCTCCCCTACCCTGGAGAGATTCACCCCTTGCAGCCAAGTGGCCTGAAGACATGTAGGTAGGGCAACTGAAATCCAGGGTTGCTTGGTCTTGGAGCATGCCATAAACATGCCTGCCTTTGTCAATGGAGCAGGAAGTGCTCATCTGGTACATATGTTTAACACACAACCATTGGCACTTTCTAAAGTGCCCTCAAAGAATTAAATGAGTTTAAAGAACCTAGAACATACTAAGTGTTTGCCATTTTTTATTCCTAAGCCATTGGAGTAACACCACAGCATTTAAGATGAACAAATTGACATGTCAATTTCTGGACATTCATTTCTAAGTCTAATGTTCTCTATGTCATCTATATAGTCTAGTGCTAGACTATAAATAAATGCATCTTTATTTCTACACTTCCAAAATATTGTTGTACAGTGCTCACTTTGGCAGCACATATACTAAAATTGGAACAAAATATTGTTGTACATTTAGCTGATTAATTGCTCAGCTGCTTCTTATCAATGACTGTTTTCCAGGAAGGCTAATAATGCCTGACTGTAATCAACCCCATGTGTGAACTCTCAAATGCTTCTCTGTGCATTTGGCACTCCCTGGAGCAGGAGGAACACTGATTAAAAAGCATCTCAAGAATCCCATTTAGATGATGATCTCAGCCTCAAACATTATTAGACATCTATGATTTACACTGCCTGCTAAGTAGAAAGTAGGGGTTTCTAAGTTCCAAATGCCCTTTATAAAAAAAATGTCCTTTGAGTTTTTTTTTTTTTTTTACATTGGATTCTGTCAACTGATTTTATGTGAAAATCAATGGGGCAATAAGTAATTGCACATTATATGCCAAGCTCTGGGCAAGATGCTTTACATATAATTATCTTACAGACTTATGGCTAATACCAAATACATGGCAGAGCTGGACTTAATTATTCTGCAGCTCTGCTTAGACCATGGGAACTGAGGATCAACTTGGGTGTCTGGTTAACTAATGTTTATTTTTCCTTCCTCTGCCAATAGTTTATCTCTGGAGATAACTGAAAGAAGGAGTTAGAGTTTGGCTTCATTTTTCTAAGGCCATCTATAAGTAAGACAGCCATAATAATATCAAGCATTCAGTTAGAGCACTCTCTATCTCAAGTATTGTGCTAGCCATTTTTCTATTGTCCTGTGATGCCATTTTGAGGAAACTGTTCAAAGAGTCCTAGACATATGGCTCAATTTTTGGTTGAGGTTGCCCAACTTGGAAATTACTAATTTTTTAAGATTCCTAAGCAAACCAATTTTTGTAAACAAAATGATCTTAATGTGATCATCCAATCAAACATGGCAAAGCCAGCTCCTAAGGTAAGTCTTCTACTGAAAAAAAAGTAATTAAATTTCAAAAAATCAATTAAATTGAAAAAAGAATTCCAAAGTCGTTTTTCAAGTATTTTATAAACTAAGGTAAAGTTGGTGATTATAATGGTGACCATTACCCTAAGTCATGAATTTTGTTCCTAACTTTGCCAAATTCCTGTCATCACTTGAATAAGCCAATTAAGCCATTGTGCCATTTTTTTTTTGTAATTCTAATCAAATGAACACTACACAATAAGATGCTCCCTGGGGAGCGTGCAACAAAAGGATTAAACACTCTGCTTTAAATATTATTATAACCATTTCCCATATTTGGTTGGTTTATGCTGCTGTCACTGGGCTAGGTTTTCATCTAAACATGAAAATTTAGCAGAGGTCTGATTGAAGCCTTTTTTAATTTTAATTACTAAATTAATAAGGTCTCCAACCTGTTCTTTTATTACAAAAACTCATCAAGAGTGGCACAGTGGAAATTTTAACACTGATGGGAGCACATATGCTATTAAAACACAAGGAATGGGAAAAAATCCCAGAAATAGTCTCAGATTGCCTAGAAAGGGTACTTTAAATACAAAAGATTTTAAATTTAAGGGATAACATAGAGAAGTTACAAAGGCGATGCTAGGTGACATTTTCACTCACCAGGATTAAAAATAATTATTCAAACACATAAAAAGCTTATCAGGAGTATTTTCACATTTATTTATGTCAAGGAGATAAAGGAGTCCTACCTTGCACATAAGGACCACGGATTAATTCATATATCAAAACTGATATATATCAAAGGGGGCATATAAAAATTTACAAATTAAAATGTCACATAAATTCATCTATTTTTGGCACACTCTCCTTCCCATGATAATGTGTTTTACTTTAAAAAGGTTTTTTGGTTTGGACTAAAATCTCATTCAATTCAGTGATGGTACTTAATGTTTTCCCCTTCATAATCATGTGAGATTTTGTGCTTTAAAGAATACTAATTTTTTAACTCTTCCAACTATTACGCCATTATCTGTGCTTTTGGGGAAAACTATTCAATCAGGGACCACTTTAGGTATATCATATAACAAACAAAAAATTTTCAAATATTTAATTTTCAGCTCAAAACACAACTACATTTGTCACTGAGTTAGCATGAAATATTATCTCCTCACTCTTTGCTAATTTAATGCCAAACACATCATATGCATTACCCCAAGTCCAATATGTGCTCATCCTGCTGCATAAACAGCACACTTGTCTTGATGTTTCCTTAATTAAACCCAACACTTTTTGATGCATATTTTTTCCCTCCCAACAGAGACTGTTAGTGCTGCAAGAGGCTCCAGAAACCATGTAATCTGACCCACCCCTCCTTGTTAAAATGTGTTTTATAAACATGACACAAAGTCGTTCATACATTGCCAACATGAGGCTACTCAAGAAATAAACCTCAAATTTGCCTCCCAACTTTACCTTTGTAAAATCCCCAACGAATCTCCCACGGCGTTCTTCACTCCTTCCTTCCCAGGTTTCAGAAATTTTTCCTTGAAGGTCTCAAAGGCTTTAAAAGGCATTTTGAATGAGGGGCACCTGAGAGCCGTTACCACCCAGTCTCAGCAACTGTCATCTTTTCTCCTGTCCAGCGTGGGGACCGCTCTGTTTTCTGGGAACACCTGGAAGTCAGTTCTCATAGAGGTAACTGCTTAGAATCAGAAAGGAGAGGAAACTCAGCCCAGATCTTCCAAGATGAGACCACTCTCTCCTCTCTCAAAACCCCTCCCTAACAAAAATGCCAAGAGTTGTCTGGCTGGGAATTCAGCCCCTTGAAAAAGCTACAAGTCAGCAGCAGCCGCCCGTGGCTGTTGCCTCGGACAGCCACTCTGAGACTGAGCGCTGCCTCTCTCCCTCCCTGGCTGCAGCTGGAGAAGCTAAAGTGGGTTCCAGCCCATGAGGATCCCCGAGACCTGCAGCAGCATCTGCGGCCTAGCCCAGCCCCTCCCACCTCCCCACAGGCAGCCTGTGGCTCTCCCTGAGTGCTCTTTTCCATGGAGTGCTATAGTAACCCGCAGGATACCTGCCCCTTAGCCGCTGGGGCTCAGTCATGGGCGCTGGGCCAGAGCAGGCGTCCAGAGGGAAGGTTGTGTTTATGAAACATTTACGAGTCCTCTGCTTTCTGAGGCCTGGGCCTGCTGAGCGGCTCTCAGCCACCACTTCATGCCCTTTGTGTCCCCTGTGGGAGCCATGAAGCAGTTTTTTGTTTGGATGCTAGCATGGATGTGATCCCTGGAGGAACATTTGCACTTGAGTGGGCTAAATGCAAAACCCAGGCCTTGAACATGTAGGATGGCATCTATTTGTTTCTCGTCGACAGAGCAGGTTCTCTGAAGGTATGGGATGCAGACACCATTAGGGCAATTAACTGAAGATATCTGAGCCAGTCCTAGCACCTGCTTACAATCTTCACAGGCTCCTCATTGTCTCCAAGAAAAAAATACCTTATCCTGGCGCCCAAAGTGCCTCCATGGGACCCTGAGCCCTGTTTCTTGTCCCTCTGCTTTCCATAACACTGAGGCCACTGAACTGTGGCCTCTGGAGTTCACTCAAGTCGTACCCCTGCCTGGGCAATGAACCTGACCCTTCACCGTGGTCACTTCTGGGGTCCTGAAGTCTCACCCAGACATCAGATCCACTAGAAAGCCTTGCAGATGAGGCGGAGGGTCCCTCCAAATCCTCTGTACTTAGGTGTAACCTAAGTACTAGTTCCGCTGGGGATGAAATATTGCATTGCACCTGCATTCCAGGCTGCAGGATGCTGCCTCCTGGTGGTGAAGACACAGCCTTCATCTGTGATGCTTCAGAGCTCCCTACACCCAGGGACGGCCAGGGACTGACCAATGTGCTGTGGGCGATGCTCTGATTTCCCCGGAGTCATTGTCACAGAACCAGTCATTGCCCTCTGCAGCTGTAGTCCAAACCTTTCTGAATTTGAATGAAATTAAACCAAATCAGAATTGGATCTTGGGTAGGTTAAATATTGCTAATATTTATTGAGCTTTTCCTATGGTCCAAGCTCTGTGTTAGGCACTCTATTTATATAGTATCACAATCTTCCCAACACTGCTCTGTAGTTAATAACTTATTTTCTCCAATTTTACTGATGGGAAACAGGCAAAGACAGGTTAGACTTTCCTGAGATCATTTAACTAGTTAGTAGCAGAGCCCAATTTCAGATCCAAATGGCCTGACTCTGGCCCTTGTTTCTCTCTCTCTCTCTCTCTCTCTCTCTCTCTCTCTCTCTCCCCCTCTGTTCTACCCTCCCTCTCTTAAGCTTTACATTTCATATAATTCATTCATTTCAAGTGGACAATCCAATGATTCTTAGTAAATTTGCCTAGTTGTGCAATTATCACCATAAAACAACTTGAGAATATTTCCATCATCCCAGTAATGTCCCTCGTACTCACTGATAATCCCTATCTCCCAACCCCAACCATGTTCTATTCAACCACCAGTCTACTTCCTACTGACACAGATTTATACGCCTGTTCTGGACACTTTATGTAGATAAATCATAGGGTAACTTGTGGTTGGCTTCTTTAGCTTTGTATAAATTTGAGGTCTATACAGCTCACACAGAAGCTTATTCTTCTTGTTCTTTATTAATGAACAGTATTTCATTATATAGATTTACTACATACTGCCTGTCCACTGACCTTCTAATTTCCAATTCCCAGATATTATGAATAAGACTGTTAGGAGTATTTGCATACAAGTCCCTGTGTGGACATATATTTTCATTTTTCTTGGATAAAAACCCAGGAGTGAAATTGTTGGATCATATGGTGTGTTTTTGAGAAACTCTTCAATTATTTTCATAAGTGGATGCACTATTTTACAATTCTACCAGCATGTATGAGGGTTCCAGTTTTTTCCACATCCTTGCCAAACTGTTGTTTGCTTTTTTAGAATAAACCATTCTAGTGAGTGTAAAATGGTGTCTTATTGTGGTTTTAATTTGCATTTCCCTGATGACTAAGGACATTAACCATCTTTCCATGTGCTTATTGACATTCATATATCTTTTTTTGGTGAAATTTATTTTCAAATATTTTACATAGGTTTTTGTCTGCTTATGACTAAAGCATATGGGTATATATTTTGGGTACATGTTCTTTATCAGCTATGTGTTCTGCAAATATTTTCTTGCAGTCTGCTGTTTATTTTTCATTTTCTTCCTTCTATATTTTTAAGTCTAAAAATTTTGAATTTTGTTGAGATCTGATTTATTCACTTTTTTTTTTCTGAACTGTGTTTTTGCTGTTTAGGGTAAGAAATTTTTGCCTAACCTGAGGTCTCAAAGATTTTCTCCTCACCTGGATTGAGTTCCATTTTCCATGAGCCTTTTCAGGTGTCCTCATGTAATTCAGTTGTTGTAGAACAGCATTCAAATATCTGCTTCCCATCCCCAAATATCAAATATAGCAAAAATAGAAGAAAGTATGTATAGTGAAGAATTCCCTGAGGGCTGTGAAACAAAATGCTGGGCATATGTAGAGTGCATAAATATTAGAAAAAGTTCTAGTTTATGGCTGGTGCCGTGGCTCAACAGGCTAACCCTCTGCCTGTAGCGCTGGCACAGTGGGTTCTAGTCCCGGTCGGGGTGCCGGATTCTGTCCTGGTTGCCCCTCTTCCAGGCCAGCTCTCTGCTGTGGCCCAGGAGTGCAGTGGAGGATGGCCCAAGTGCTTGGGCCCTGCACCCCATGGGAGACCAGGAGAAGCACCTGGCTCCTGGCTCCTGCCATCAGATCAGCGCGTTGTGCCGGCTGCAGCGCGCTGGCCACGGCGGCCATTGGAGTGAACCAACGGCAAAAGGAAGCCCTTTCTCTCTGTCACTCTCTCTCACTGTCCACTATGCCTGTCAAAAAGAAAAGAAAAGAAAAGAAAAGAAAAGAAAAGAAAAGAAAAGAAAAGGAAAGGAAAGGAAAGGAAAAGGAAAAGGAAAAGGAAAAGGAAAAGGAAAAGGAAAAGTTCTAGTTTATATTTGATGCCTTCCCATCATCTTATACCAAAAAAGTCTCCTCATAGTCAGTTAAGCCACCACATAGGACACCCACATCCCATATTGGAGTCCCTGGTTCGAGTGCTGTCTACTTCACGATTTCAATTCAGCTTTTTGCTAATGTGCCCTGGGAGGCAGCAAATGATGGCCCAAATTTTGGGGTTTCTGTAGCTCAGATAGGAGACTCAGATTGAGTTCCTGGTTCCTGGCTTCAGCCTGGGTCAGCCCTTACTGTTGCAGGCATTTGGGAAGTAACCCAAAATATGGAAGATCTCTCTCTCTCCCCCTCTCTCTCCTCCTCTCTCTTTCTCTCCCTTTTTTTTCTTTCTCCCTCCCTCCCTCTCTCTCTTTCAAATAAATAAATCTGTAAAAAAGTTAAAAAGCTCTTTCATTTAGAGAAAAAAATATTAACTAAGACATCTTTAGGGGTCCTTGCCCAGATTACAACAAATCTTCATTTTCAGGAAACTTGCCGTGTCCTGAAGCCCTCCTCTTTTATGATGACAAGCTTCCAAAAGTCCTGTGTATACTGTAACGTTCCCCATTCCTCTGGCTACTGTTGAACAGATCAGGAGTAGACATCTGCACTACGCTCAGCTGATCTGGTGCCAGATTCTCCTAATATTTTAACTTTGGAGAAGAAAGACTGTTACTGCATATTGAAGGATCCAGGAACAACAACTACATGTCCTCTATGGGGTAGAGAGGTGAAGAACACCTGACAAAGAGAGGAAATGCAGAGGGGCATGTATTCCTAATGCTCTTCCAGTCCCTGTCCATCTAGACTCAGATGCCTTTTCACCCTGGGCTTTCAAGTAATACCCGCATCCTTATGACGAATTGCCCTGTTTTGGATTAGCTAAGATGGTTTCTGTTCCTCTCAAAGAATCTTGGCTACTGTAATTATTTAAATCCCAAGCCCTGTACTATCAAGTAAGTCTCCACTGAGTACCGTGTGGGTGAGCCTGACTGTCCAGTTCAGTGACAGAAGAAGACTAATGAGCAAAAATGTAACAAGCAGGGCTCATAGGTTCATCACCAGCCAAGTCCACCCAGTCTGCCAAGACCGAAAAGGCAAACCGACTAAATCCCAAATAAACAATCCAAAGGCATTAATCTTATCAAATCCAACCAAAGAGTTGGATGGAGAATTTTAACTAGGTCAGGAATAAAGATAAAATTATTTACTTTTTTATATAAGAGATTTTACAAGGAAACAAAAGTGATGAAGAGAAGTAATGGTCTTTGGATTCCTTCTCCCCAAATTCTGTGCCAGTTTTTCCAGAAAACCCCTTACCCTTCCCCAACTCCAGATTCCTTCAACTCACCCCACAACATCCTGAGATCAACATAAAATTTCTTTTTTCCAAAACTTTTCTCATTCCTTTAATATTTGTAGGTTGTTGATAACTATCATTAGTACTAGTCAAAATGTATGAGAATAAAACTAGATTTTTTTGCACTGAACTCCTCCTATTTGACATTAGGTATTCTATAATAGTCAAATTTATTATACAAAGCACTTTCAAGTATCTCATTTGATTCTCACAACAACCCTATGAAACAAACAGATAAGGAAATCAAGACTCAAATTTCCTCAATATAACCTGACCAGCAGACTTCACATATCTGACTGGGTCCTAAAGCACATTTTCTAAGCTCGTACCACCAGGGTACACAGCACATTATGAGGCCCAAATTTTACTATGGGAGGTAAAGCATCCATGCAACATACTTCAGAAAAGATGGACTCCGAATCCTTGGGCCTTTAAACATTTTATTGAGGAGGTGAGTAATTGGCATAGCTGTTAGAACACTGCTTGAGATGCCACTCCCATAACAGAAAGCTTTGGTTTGAGTCCACGCTCCATTCCCAATCCTACCTTTCTGCTAATGCACACCTTGGGAGATAGCAGATGATGACCCAAGAACTTGGGTTCCTGCTATCCTCATGGGAGACCCAGATAGAGTTCCTGGCTTCTGTCTGTCCAGTGTAGACCTTTGCAGACATTTTAAGTGTGAATCAGTGGATGGAGTATTTCTCTCCCTCTCTGTCATTCTAAAAAAAATAAATAAATAAACCAAAATACAGAAAGGTAGGCTGTCTTAAACCAGCATGGATGGAATCCCTCCTGTTACATATTTCACACTTATCACAGAAGTCAAGCATTTACTTAGAACACGACCTTCTTTCATTTATGAAGAACCTTTCACTTCATTCTCCACTGCCTCTTTGAGCCTTATAACCACATACAGAACTCTACTTTACTGTTGAAGCCAAGGGCATGGAGAAGACATAACAAGAAATCATACCCACGTACTCATCTGCTTGCTGCCTTTGGTTGCATGTAACAAATTATGTATCATTTCAACTTGGAGGATACAGCCGCCCACAGCCTCAACATAAGATACTCAAGTAATAATGTTTGAGTCTGTTTTCTTTTTTCTAGATCTTTATCTATTTTCATTTTATTTGAAAGGCAGCAAGAGAGGGAGAGACAGAGAGACAGACAGAGATCTATCACTGGTTCACTCTCTACATGCCCACAACAGCCAGGGTTAGGCCAGGTTGAAACCAGGAGACTGGAACTCAATCCGGGTCTCTATGTGGGATTGAGGGACCTATGTACTTGTGCCATGTGCTGCCTTCCGGGATGTACTTTAGCAGGAAACTGGATCAGAAGCCAAGGAGTCAGGATTCGAACCAGGCACACTGATTTGGGATGGGAGTGTCCCAAGCAGCATCTTAACCACTGTGCCAAATGCCTGCCCCATGAATATTTCTTTACCATATGTTACTACTTGTGCACTCTAAGAGGATACTCCAAGAAGTTCATGGAAATGTGTAACATGAAAAATCCTGCATGGATTTCAAAAGTATTTTGCACCCTCCCCCAAATTTATGTTTTATTT